TTACGTCACGAGTGGACGGCGGGGGGGACGTCTCTGGTCCTCACGACGGTCAGAGTCCCGTGTGCGGCACCGCGTGTCCCACTCCCCTCTGTGCCTTTGGGAGCGTTTCTGAGTTTTCTTCAAGGAGTTTGGACATTTCTTGTCAAATTCAGGCCGCGCCTTTCGGCTGAGGTCCTGGCGCCGGTGTGAGTGGGGTCGTCTCCCCCGTTTTAGCTTCTGCTGAGAGGGTTTGGTTTGTAAATGTGGAGGCTCTTGATTTCTTCTCAAAGTGAGCTCCCTTCTGACCGAAATGCATCCTCCGGCACAGCGTCCGTGCCGCAGGGCTCTTGACGGACGGGCGAGGAGTGAAACCCCCGTGTGACGCCTCCCAGATCACACGTGGGACGACTCCGGCCCCCAGGAGCCTCTTGGCCCAGGGCAGCCGTCACCGGACGTCCATCCACCCGATTGGTTTTGAGGTTCTTGGTTTCCACGTTGACTTTTTTTTATCACTTGCTACTTTGACGAACTTCCCACATTGTTACCGCTTCCCACTGATTCTTTAGGGTTTCTGGGCGGTCGCATCAGCAGAGGCAGTTTTACTTTTCCCTTCCCATTCCTTATGTCTCCGAGTGCCTTTTCTTGTCCAATCGTGTCACCCGGCGTCACCAACACGGAGTTACGTGTGGGGAATCTGTGCGCGTCTGTTCTCGCTCCTTTCATGGCAAAACCTCCAGTGTCGGCCTGTTAAGAAAGACGGATTTCGGGGCCGGCCCGGTGGAGCAGTGGTTAAGTGTGCATGTTCCGCTTCTCGGCGGCTCGGGGTTCGCCGGTTCGGATCCTGGGTGCGGACGTGGCACCGCTTGGCACGCCATGCTGTGGTATGCGTCCCGCATAGAAAATAGAGGAAGATGGGCACGGATGTGAGCTCAGGGCCAGTCTTCCTCAGCAAAAAGAGGAAGATTGGCAGCAGATGTTAGCTCAGGGCTAGTCTTCCCCCCCAAAAAAGAAAGATGGATTTCAGGTCAAAGTGTTGAACTTTCACAGACAAAGAAACTGAGGGTTCGAGAGGTGAACCGGGCCCAGAGGTGGGGCGAGACGGGAGGCGAGAGCGGGCCGTGTGCTGATGTGGCCCCACCTCCTGACCCTGCAGGAGATCGTCAACTTCAACTGCCGGAAGCTGGTGGCCTCGATGCCGCTGTTTGCCAACGCTGACCCCAACTTCGTCACGGCCATGCTGACCAAGCTCAAGTTCGAGGTCTTCCAGCCGGGCGACTACATCATCCGCGAGGGCACCATCGGGAAGAAGATGTACTTCATCCAGCACGGCGTGGTCAGCGTGCTCACCAAGGGCAACAAGGAGATGAAGCTGTCCGACGGCTCCTACTTCGGGGGTGAGCGTCGGCAGGCCCCCACCCGGGGATGGAGGAGGGGGTGGGGCGGCTGGTGGGCCTCGGGAAGGGGCTCTGGGAGGCCAGAGCACACCCGTGGTGGCCGGGAGGGCCCCGAGGGTGGCCGGGGGCAGCTGGGTGTTGCCCGGCGGCTGAGGACGCCTCCCCGCACTGCGCGCAGAGATCTGCCTGCTGACGCGGGGCCGGCGCACGGCAAGCGTGCGGGCTGACACCTACTGCCGCCTCTACTCACTGAGCGTGGACAACTTCAATGAGGTGCTGGAGGAGTACCCCATGATGCGGCGGGCCTTTGAGACCGTGGCCATCGACCGCCTGGACCGCATCGGTGAGCAGCTGCGGGAGGGGCTGAGGCTTGGATGGGAGGCAGCGGGGCCGAGCTGACCCTCAGGGCCCCCCTGGTCCCCAGACCGGATCCTCTGACCTGCTTTCTCCCCTGGCCAAATGCAGCCCGTTTCCCAGAAAGTGTGGGTGTCCCCAGCTGTCAGAACTTCTGCTCACTTGGCAAACATCTGTTGAGCACCTTGTGTGCCAGGAGGTGTAGACGGTGAGCCGCGGGGCCGGCCCTGGGCCGCCCTCAAGAGGCTTCTGTTGTGGAGGAGGGGCTGGGGGTGGTGGTGGGGGGGCCCTTGTAGTGCTGAGTGGAGACTAGGAGGAGGAGTGACCAGACAGCAAGGGAGAAGGTGTATTCTAGGAGTGGACACGGCATGTGCAAAGGCCCTGAGGTGGGGGCGAGGCCTGGCAGCTGGGAGGAGGGAGTCTGGGGGACAGGAGGGGCCTCATGGGCTGTGGGGGAGGAGTTTGGACTGTCAATCAGGAGCAATGAGGGTCACAGTGATGCTAGGCAGGGGAGGACCTGGTCAGATTTGCGTTCCAGAGGGGTGGAGGTGGCCTTGCCTGCAGGGGGAGGCAGGGACCTCAGAAACTGTTGAGGTGAAGCCCTAGGGACTTGCTGATGACGAGACCCAGGATCAGGGAGGTGGCCCCTGGGGCTATTTGTGGGAATAAAGATGACGGCTGGAGAAGCAGGCCTGGGTGGGGGGAAGAGATGTTAGAGGGAACACTTCCCAGTACACAGGCAGCGCTCAACACGTTTATGGACAACTGGCACTTGACAACCTGCTGTGCACAGTAGGCACTCAGCACATGCTGTGTAGATGGTAGGCACTCAGCACTGGCTGTGCACAAGCATGTGTTCTGGGTGTGATGCTGTACACAGCAGGTGCTCAGTATATGACTGCTGTGCACAGCACACTCATACCTGCTTGCAGTATGTAGGAGCTCCCACGTGTGCTTCCTGTATACATTGGGCGCCCACACCTGCTTACTCTACATGGCAGACACTCGTACTTGCTCGCTGTATGTAGGAGGAGCTCCCGCGTGCTCGCTGTATACAGCAGATGCCCCTGCCCTCCTGGTGTATGAAGGAGGAGCTCTGCTGGGCGTTCGCTGTATACAGTGGGCGCCCACACCTGCTTACTCTACATAGCCAACGCTCATACTGCTTTCTGCATGGAGGAGGAGCTCCCGCGTGCTCGCTGTATACAGCAGATGCCCCTGCCCTCCTGGTGTATGAAGGAGGAGCTCTGCTGGGCGTTCGCTGTATACAGTGGGCGCCCACACCTGCTTACTCTACATAGCCAACGCTCATACTGCTTTCTGCATGGAGGAGGAGCTCCCGCGTGCTCGCTGTATACAGCAGATGCCCCTGCCCTCCTGGTGTATGAAGGAGGAGCTCTGCTGGGCGTTCGCTGTATACAGTGGGCGCCCACACCTGCTTACTCTACATAGCCAACGCTCATACTGCTTTCTGCATGGAGGAGGAGCTCCCGCGTGCTCGCTGTATACAGCAGGCGCCCCTGCCCTCCGGGTGTATGAAGGAGGAGCTCTCCTGGGCGCTCGCTGTATACAGCAGATGCCCCTGCCCTCCTGGTGTATGAAGGAGCTCTGCTGGGCGCTCGCTGTATACAGTGGGCGCCTACACTTGCTTACTCTACATGGCAGACACTCATACTTGCTGTATGTAGGAGGAGCTCCCGCGTGCTCGCTGTATACAGCAGGCGCCCCTGCCCTCCCGGTGTATGAAGGAGGAGTTCCCACGCAATCACTATACACTAGGCGCCCGCGCTCCTGGTGCATGAAGGAGGAGCTCTGCTGGGCGCTCGCTGTATGCAGTGGGCGCCCACACCTGCTTACTCTACTCAGCTGACACTCATACCCGCTCGCTGTATACAGCCGGCGCCCGCCCGCCGCGCTGACACCCCCGCCCCCCCCCGCAGGCAAGAAGAACTCGATCCTGCTGCACAAGGTGCAGCACGACCTCAGCTCGGGCGTGTTCAACAACCAGGAGAACGCCATCATCCAGGAGATCGTCAAGTACGACCGCGAGATGGTGCAGCAGGCGGAGCTGGGCCAGCGCGGGCTCTTCCCGCCGCCGCCGCCGCCGCAGGTCACCTCGGCCATCGCCACGCTGCAGCAGGCCGTGGCCATGAGCTTCTGCCCGCAGGTGGCGCGCCCGCTCGTGGGGCCGCTGGCGCTCGGCTCGCCGCGCCTCGTGCGCCGCGCGGCCCCGGGCCCGCGCCCGCCGCCAGCCCCCGGGCGCGCCCGCCAGCCCCCGGGCGCCGCGGACCTCGCCCTACGGCGCGCCCGGCTCCCCCGCAGCGCCCCGCGGGCCCGCGCTGCCCGCCCGCCGCCTGAGCCGCGCGTCGCGCCCGCTGTCGGCCTCGCAGCCCTCGCTGCCCCACGGCGCGCCCGGCCCCGGCCCGGCCCCGCCGCCTCCGCGCGCGCCGCCAGCAGCTCCACGCCGCGCCTGGGGCCCGCGCCCGCCGCCCGCGCCGCCGCGCCCAGCCCGGACCGCAGGGACTCGGCCTCGCCCGGCGCCGCCGGCGGCCTCGACCCGCTGGACTCCGCGCGCTCGCGCCTCTCGTCCAACTTGTGACCCTCGCCGCGCCGCCCCGCGGGCCCGGCGGGCCGGGGGCGGGCCGCCACCCAGACCAAAGCCATGCCATTGCGCCGCCCGGCCCGCCCGCCGCCCGCCCCAGAAGCCATAGAGGAGACGTAGGTAGTTGTAGTCGGATGGGCGGGCCGGCCGGCGGGGCGGGCAGCCTGCGCCCCCGCGTCCCCCATCGCCCTGCGCCCACCCACATCGCCCCTGCCCGGCGGCCGCCTCGCGGCGCGCGGGGCTCCCTTCACCTCGGTGCCTCAGTTCCCCAACTGTGAAGCGGGGCCGGCCCGGGGCAGGGGGCGCGGCCCCGCCCGAGGAGGACTCTGTTTTTTAAGTGCAATACTTGGCCCGCCGGCTCCCCGCTGCCCCATCGCGCTCACGCAATAACCGGCCGGCCCCGCCCCGAGCGGGCACGCAGCCGCGCCGGCACCGGCCGGGGTCCTGGCCGCGCCTGGGCGTGGGGGCGGCGCCGGGGGTCCCCGCCGGCGTGATGAATGTACTGACAGACGAGGCCGCAGCGCCCCCCGCGCCCCCCGCGCCCACTAACCCCCACGCCCCCATTCCGCGCAATAAACGACAGCATTGGCGCCCAGCCTGCCCGCGTCTGATTGCTCGGGCGGCCCCAGGGGGGCAGGCGCCCCGGGTCCCCCAGAAGGCAGCGGCTCCCGTGGGTGGCGACAGAGCTTTATTTACACTGTGTCAGCGCGCAGCGGGGACGCCGGGCGTCAGCTGAAGAAGTAGGTGGAGCGCTTCACCTGCTCCAGGTTGAAGGGCCCTGCGGAGCGGAGAAGCGCCGTGGGCGGGGCCGGGGCAAGGGGAGGGGGTCCCAGGGGCGGAGAGGGAGCGTGGGCGGGGCCCGGAGGAGAGGCGGGGTCCCAGGGGCGGGGAGGGGCCCGGAGAGGCGGAGCGGAGAGGGACCGTAGGTGCGGCCTGGAAGGGGGCGGAGTCCCAGGAGTGGGGTAGAAGGAGGGGGGGCGGGGCGGGGCCCGGGGGGGGGAGGGACCGTGGGCCGGCCCCGGGGACACCCGCAATCAGGGCGCCCGCCCGGCCCGCGGCGGTACCTGTCTTGGGCACCGACAGCAGCGTGTCCAGCAGCCGGGAGACCCAGACGTTCTTGGAGGCTTTCGGGGACCTGAAGGAGAGCGCAGGGTGGGGGTGAGGCCGGGCGGGGCGGGGCGGGG